GACTTGGTTTCATAATGAACCCAAACAAAACAAAACAAAATAACTATCACCATGTTTCTACTAGTCCCCTCGTGCGTTTTTGCAGCTGTGGCTTGGGTGGAGCCTGCTTTGGTGACCTTGCATCTGGTGTTACAGCAAAGATTCACAGGAAGAAGAGGTCATCTGTCCAAAATGGATTCAGAAAAAATAAGTGGCTGTCGTGCTTGCTGGAGTTTGGGATCTCCTTTCCTCTGCGTGAGACATTTCTGCAGCCAAGTCTTGCTTGAGGAAACTGACAGCTTGGCTGCCTCCCCAGCCTCAGATCCTGCGACTTCAGCCTCCTCACCCTCAGCTCTTGCTGCCACCTCCTCTTCCTTCTCAGCCAGCCCTGACGGAGCTGAGATGCCCACAGCTGATGAGATGCCTTCAGACAATCCCTCCCTCCCAGTGCCTTCACAGGTGTGACTATAAGAAGTGTGGTTTGATGCATGAACCAAGTCCCGCCAGCCATGTAGGGTAATCATCCAAAACAAGCATGAGTTGGAAGGTCCACATAACATCAGTTTGAGCACAGAGCAGTCTCACCTCACACAGCGGTCTACATCCTTTGAGCCCCTCTAAAGACAAGTCTAGGTGGGTTGTCCTACCAGGCTTCCTTCACAAGGCATCACTGAGGTGTCCTTGGTGTTAGGACCAGAAAAGGGGGTACAAACCCTTTGGAGAGGGAGGTTCAAACCCCCATGTAGCTCTCCTACCTTCCTGAGGGCAGGGAGGGAGATGTCCTGCTGCTGGTGACCATGCGAAGGAGGGTGCTTCCCATATTACAACACGCTCTCAGGAAGAGCCCAGAGATGCTCGTCGTGGACAGGCTGCTGTGCTGAAATGGGGCATTGAGCAATCAAACCAGTTGGAAACCCTGGTGTCTAGAAATAAAAAGTGACTGTTTGTTTTCTAACGCCTATAGGGGCCGGTGGGGGCCCATGGCAAGTGGCAGCAGGTTGGAGGAAGCAGCTGTAGCTGGTTTGTGTTGTATTCCTGAGCAGTTCAACTGTGAGCTGGGACCTGCGATTGGCTTGTGGTTGTCACTCTGAGCAGAGCACTTGGCCTCCAGAGTTGGATGGAGATGGCTGCAGAGCTTTTCCTGTTTCTCCAGGCTGAGATGGGCTAAATCTTAGGAGCTTCAGCTGGACTGGAGGTCTGGATCCAAACCTTACCTTCCTTCTCCCCAGCCCAGCGAGCCTGTTCTCCATGCAGGAGATTTGTCACCAAGTAACTCCTCACATTTTAATTCAAGCATGTAGTAGGGATGGGTCGAAGCTGGTTGTCATTACAGACACTGAAATCTGCTCCTGAAGCCACATGCAATGGTTCTTTTTTGCATTTGTTGAAGGACACGTCAAGGAAAACTACTGAAGCACAGTAAGGAACAAGAACTTAAAACACCTCAGGATATAACCAGGCTCATTTTCTCCCAAGGAAAATGTTTCCCAGTGGCACAACTGCCTTCCAGCCATGACAAATCTCAGGAGTAAGCTTGGCTTTGAACCCAAATAACACCCCAAGTCAGTGAGCAAAACATCAGGCAGGAGCTGCAATGTTTATCAACTCCTTTGCAGCTCCTAGAAATCTGTGTTTCAGTGTACACCGTGCCGTAGATGTCTTTATGTTGGAAGACCTTAGAGAAGGGGTCAATAAAAAAATCCCACCCTGTTGTCTGTACTGTCCAATATGAGGGTTGGGAAAACACACTGCCGCTTCCCAAACACTTTTGAGGAGAACTGTGCAAGGAAAAGTCGGTCTCCCTCCATGGAAACCAAGCTCCTCTCTCCGTCCCTTGTGAAACCTTCACTCTGCCCTTCTTCTCCTGAAGGCAAGAGTTTAACATGGACATCTCCCAGAAAGTACTTTCTCATTTCCACCAGGATTCCAGCCCTTTCTAGGGGAGCAGCAGGACTCAGGACCTGGGTTGACCTTCCCGGGGAAGCAAGGAAGTATTTCCACATCAGGTGGGAGTTTGATGGCACTACTGCTCCAACTCAAATGCATGCTCAAGGGGTAGGAAACCACATTTGGACAAGCAGCAAGAATTTTTGGAAGGACAGCCTTTGAGCTTCTCATTCATGGTACCCACAATCCTGCTACACCGGTGAGGATCATCCATTGGAGTGGATGCAGCTTGTGCCACAGATGTGATATGCAGTGGGTACTGCATCCCCAGGATTTGGGAACAGGACCCTCAGCTGAAGACGTGGGCCACTGTTCGGAATTGCCAACGCACGAGCCATTGACTAAGAAGAGCCGATACCAGGCACCAAGGTTTCACTTCAGTGAGGCCATAGAGAAGAACCCAAGTGAACAGAAACCAATGAAAGTATTTGAGTCCCCAGTCACCCAAAACCACTAAGATTTGGTGCAGCTGCACCGAGCGGCTCACCAGAGCTGTGGAGGACCAGGCGAGGTACAGGGACAGATGTCCCAGGATTCAGGCACTGCCTCGAGATCAGGGCGGTCCAGGACACCACCAGCACCAGCTCCTCAGCAAGAGCAGTGGGGATGGCAGCGCCCTGCCTGCTTGGCCAAGAGGTTTGGGGAGAAAATAAGAAATGTGCAGAAATTCCCCCTGGATTTTACAAAGGCATTGGGAGTCCAGGCCAGAGGATCCCTCAGTGCAATCTGGCACAGTTACCTCAAAACCTGCTCCCATCTGCCAGAGCATCTGGTCTTTTTTCCGTGAGCAAGCAACAGCCTCAGAAGCTTCTCTGGTGTTGGATTTTGGGGGTGGGATGGATATGGGGAAGGCCAGGTTGGGCCAGCATTAGGCACAAACCCAACTGTGAGTACTACCTGAGCCCTGAGCAAGAAGGTGACCCCTGCCCACAGCCACACATCCCACTGCCTTATCCTTCTTACATCGTACCTCTGCCATAAGACCATGTCCTGTGGTTGCCTTCCCAGTCTTTCCACACCCATCAGTTGTCCTGAAAGCCAACTAGCATGACAAGAGCCATTCTGCATGGTCCCAAACCAAGCTCTGGGCTTTGAGGCACGATGGTAACACTAAAAATAAACAGTGCAGCCGGGTCCAACAAAAGGTACCTCAGCTCCCCACCACTCTTCCGCGGTCTTGGGGTGGAAATTGAAAGAGCCCTGAATATGTAGCAGGTGGCTCCAGGCAAGCACAAGATGGTGGTTTCTGAGGAAGGACTTGCACCAGGACATCTGGGGAAACCGCAAGTGGTGTTTATGGTGTCCCAGCCTACAGACCATCATATGTTTCACAAGTGGGCATGTGTTGTTCTAGCACAGACCGCAGCGGGTGCCTTGCTCCCACCTCCCCTCCACCAGCTTCCCCTACCAAACACCTCACCCACAGGGAGGTGAGTCTGCCTCAAGCTCTGAGGGAGCACCAAAGGCTGGAACAGGATTAAATCCTGGAGGACACACTGTGATGGTCCTCAGGAGGAGCAGGGAAAGGCTTGAGGTGAACGCTGATGGTACAATCCCTACCTCCATGACCAAGCATCCTGTAAGACCTTATAGGAGTTGGGGACTTCATTGCACTTAGCATCCTGGTGCATCCTCAAAAATCTTGGTCTGCAGCCATCTCCACTCACACAAGCACCAAAGCCACATGCCATAATACCTGCAAGGAATGTGCACAAGGGCACAGACAGGACTACAGCATCCCACCAACATGATTGGGGCATGAAGAACAACTTATCCATAGAGTGGGGTGCTCATAGCATAAATAGATTGGGATGTAGGGCCTCCCTTAATCCTACTGTACAACCATAAAGTTTCAGCTGGGTGTCCCATCTCAGAGCACTTTTTGGGTACCCTAAATTGTGTGTTGTCCATCTAGTGGTCTTTGGGACAGAGGCTGTAACTACTTACCCTGAAGGGATGCAAAAGGGTCAGCTTCAAGTCTCACGAGAGCTGGCTGAAGATTTAATTGTTTTAAGGAAGCTTCCTTGAAAATGCTGAATTGTTCAACCCAAAACAGCTAGCAGTCCTGCCAACAGAGCAACCTCCTAGAAGTGAGCTGTGGTCAACTCAACCTGGGCCAGGGTCCTCACATCTTAACTGTGACTAGTGAAGGTCTCTATCATTAATTAAAAAAGCAGATAAGCAAAAAGGTGCCAATCTGCTTTCATACCCAAGCAGGGAGGGCAGGTATACATCCATTTCCTTAGCATCTCCCAAGGATACTCAGCCTCCAGCTGCCTGGATCTCCAGGCATCCCCTTCACAAGTGCCTACATCCCTGGTACCTTGAAACCAGGGTCACTTGGCTGAAGGCTGGTGCTTCCCTGCCTGCACCCTTTGGCAGGCCTGAGCCAGAAGGAAGCAGCTGCAGTTCATGTTTGTTCTTCACCATGGGCAAGGTGACAGATCAAACATGGTCCTCACAGCCTTCCAGAGCCTCTTGAGCATTTTCCCCTCTCACACAGGCTTGAGATGGAGGCAGGTGAGGGTGCAGATGCGTAGCCTCCCCTGCTGCAACATTGACCTCATTGTTTGACCAAGGCAGATGCTCCCTTTTTGCTCTTGGTTCTCCCCAAAACACCCTCCACCCCCACTAAACCGGGGCCTGTGAGACACATGGATAGAGACGACCATGGGGAAAGCTCCACCAGGCAATGAAGGGCAAAGGGACTACAGTATAGCAGGACCATAACTAACTGCCTCCCACCCCTTCCCACCTCCCATAACCTTGGAGCATCACAGCCCAGTGCTGTGGCAGATGAGCAGTGACCTATCTTCATGCTCCATGGAATGAAGGACCTACACACGATACCCTTTTCCTCCCTCCATCATATTACAGCATTTTGGCTCATTTCTCTCCAGCCCCAGAGATGAAGGCAGGCAGTTAGGAAGCAGAAGAGAGAGGTGACAGCAGAGACTTAACACAGATCCCACCACAGGAAAGACCAGGACAGGAGCCACTCAGAGATACCAGGGCTCTCCCCACCAGACTTAAGACCCCACTCATTGCAACCAAAAACCACAATGCAAGAGAAATACAAAATATAGCACTTTAATGGCAGGAAGATAAAAAAAATACAAAAAAATTTAATAAACCTCAGGCATAAAATAAATAGGCATCTTAGTAGCACGCACACACGTGCGGTCCTGGGTTGGGTCAGCTGCAAGGCACAGGTCCCATGGCCAAGCAGCTCCCCACTGCTGGGTGTGCACACAAAGCATGTTAATGAGGATTTACACATGGATGCCGCTGCCTGGTCACGCTTGGGAGACACCAACACATGTGTTTGCAAGGGTGAAGCCAACCTATTCACACTATGCTGCAATCTTTAAAATTAAAGATATTGCATATTTATATAAACTCTGTCTCTAGGAAAAATTAAGATTCCTAAGTCTTTGTGTATTCAACATTTACACATATAATCTCTGCATTGGTTTCCAAGTTTCAAAATACTTTGGTAGACACACATATAAAACTTATAGCAAAAAAATAAAGAGGAATTTGAGAAGGTTCTCCTTGGGAGTATATCCTACCTTCCCTCAGCAGGACCCTTTTAGGAGGAAAAAACACCTGATTTCTGGAAAGAATTGCCTACATTTAAATCATTTTAAGGCTTTTCCAAGAGTCACTTCCTACCAACCTTGCTGAGAATAGCGGTTTGGAGTTGCAGACCACTGGGGCAGGTCACTATAGCTGTTGATTTTTGGTTCTGCTTGACTGGCCATTAACAAAAGCAACAAGAAAGCCCTGCCAGCCCTGACCTGCCCACAGTTCAGACACTCCCTCCTCCCCCTGCCATCAGCTATAGCCAACAACAGTATATGGACAACCCGGCTTGGTACAGAAGTCATTTTTGCCAGTGAAGTGTCTGCAGGACACACACCGAGCATCCAACCTGCTTTCTCATGTCTATTTTTACTGCTGTATTTATACAGACTCTGGACTGGAAACAGCAAAGAACAACAACAAAAAACCCTACAACTTTCCAAATGGGAAATTTAGGCACTAATGGGACCAAACTGGGTCTAGACCAACCCAAGCCATCACACTATGTCTGGGGAGAAGGAGGCTCAGACTGCAATCTGTTGGTTTTCTCTGAAGAGTGGCCGCTGGTGCGTTGCGCAGATGTCCTGGAAGATCCTGTACACCTGGTCATGCTGTGTCTCATCAGCTACAGGGAGCATGGGGCTGCTGCTGCAGGTCTTCCCAGCCTCATCCACCACCTGCCTGACACACAGCTGCTCCACCTACACAAAAAGAAAAGTCATGAAGACATCGAATGACGCAGAACCTCTTCAGGTATCTGTCACTGCTGCCATCCACCCCTACCAGCCCAGGCAGCACAGTATGGGGTGGGAGAGAAACACCAGAGCAGTTGTGCCCAACCGACCTGGATGGCCAGGTCCAATTCCACAAGCCACCTTGGCACAAGCACCTCTAGGACCGAAGGGGCAATCACAAGAGCTCCTCTCCCAGCAGAGCTATAGGGAGGTGAGGACAGTCTGAGGATGTCTCAGCACATGCAGTGACCCTCTGGTGAAGGGACTCAAGGCAAGAAGAGGTGACCAGGTCAGAAAGTTGTGCAGGGAGATACAGAACCAGCCTCTGCACTTGTAAAAATCCCCTCCAGGACCTCACAGACTTGGTGGGTCTTCACTTGCTCAAGGGTGGACACAACACTCTCCCATATCCTCCATGCCATGGCCCTCTTGCTGCAGCACTGGTTGCCCAAGGGGGTCTCACACTGCATGCAGGCTCCAGAAACACCCTATGTGTTGCCCCAAAGCTTTGGGCTCCCAGACTTGCTTCAGCTTCTCCAGGGAGATGTTTCTAGCCAGAGCCATGGGGACTGACACTCTCATCCCATCCTCTCCTTCACCAAGGGTTTCCCAGCCCTGCTACTGACCACCATGGTTGTTCATCACAGCTGTTAACTGCTTGGCTCGAGGCCACCTCTTAACACAACCATTCCAGGTATTTATTCCCCTCTTTCCCACAGGAGAGGGGAGAGGTCCCAGTGGCAAGAGGGAGGAACAGGCAGAAGAGAACAAATTTCCTAGCAGTTTAGAAAAGCTTTTGCCACTTGAGAGCTTTGTTTGCAAACATGATCTACCCAGATAAAGGAGTCTCAAAGAGCCCAAACACCTCTCAGGAGGCTGTGGACAAGGACTCCTGCCATCCGACCAGGAGTCCAAGCTAGAGCTCTACTTGACGAGGGAAAAAGGGCAAAATGGTCCAGACAAGGGGGGAAATTCAGCAGCAGAGCTCCAAAGTGCAGCCTTCCATACCTGGACAAGGATGAGCTTACACCGCAGTGGCACAGCATCTGGGAACTCCTCTCCAAAGCACAGCATGACTCTGCTGTCTGGTAAGCGGCCCTGGTTGTTGTAATACTGCTGCAACTCTGCAAGGAGAGGGACACAGTTGGAGGCTGCCTGCCCCAAGCTGCCAGCCTTTGCTATGCAGCTTCAGGACCAAGCACCCTGCCATGGAAGAAAGTTGGGGGCTCAAGAAGAGCCAGCTTTGCTGTGCTAAGCCTCCAACCAGGAGGAATTTCCTAGTGACACAAGACACCAGGTTACTCCTTCCTAGATCTGGTAGCATCAACGACTCATCCCATGTGTGATGGGAAGTGATGACTTCCAAGTGCCCCAACGCTAATGGCTCCATCCTTTCAACCCCACCAAGTGGATAAAAAGGAAGAGGGAAATGCTCATACAAACCTCTGAAGAACAAGTTGGTGTCAAATATCTTCACCACCTCATCCCGGTCCAGTTTGTTGGGCCTGTCCTTGTAGACCATGTTGTTGCCGCTCCAGAAGACCCTGCCTTGGCACAGCCTCTTGATGAAGATGCCCTGCCTGTTGCTGTGCAGCAGGACACCCCTCTCCAGGTGCCCAAAGAGCTTCCTGGTGATCTGCTTCTGGCGGTCATTCTGGATGGTGTCGGCTGAGGGGAAACGCACGTGCTCCAGGGCATCTGGAGCATACAGCTTCTCACCATGGCCAGAGGGCTGGCTCAGCGAGATCCGGCAGCCCTCGGTGCATGAAGTGGTGATGTGGCCCACCAGCCTCCCACTGTAGAAGAAGTTGATCACCATCTGGGAGTAACCTGGGAGGAGACGGACACATACAGTGCTCATCAGGAGAAGACAAACCCGGCCTGCTCTTCACTGCAATGCCCAAGCTCTATGAGACCAGCAAAGTTTCTGAGATGGAGGACACCTACTTGCTAGAGGACATCTCCAGCACTCTGCCTGGTAGCGGCACTGATCAGCAAGAACTCCCAACACTGAACCCCTTCCCTCCTGCCCACCTCCCTTGCTGTGGGCAGATCTCCCCATGCTAAAGGCACAGTTGATCCCAACACCCCAGGGCCAGCCCCAAGCCAGGGCCATGTCCTTCTTCAGCATGGAAGCTCTGTGGATACTCAGGAGGGCACAGGACCTCCCAACCCAAGAGCAAAGCCTCCCCCAAGGCAGTGAGCAGAGTCAGAGCCACCTTCTGCCACCCCACACATAAGGCCAAGCCCCAGAGGGACATTTGATAGCCACAGTCCACAACCAAGCAAGGGAGCTGCCTTACCCAAATGATGCTGCTCGTAGCCAGCGTATCCGTTCATCAGGGGCAACGCTGTGGGCAGAGAGAAAGCCAAGTTGTTCTGTGGGCCCATCTCCTAAATCCCGACCTCCTCCTCCTCTCCCCTCCACAAGCCCCACAGTTTTCTCTTCCCAGGCACATCAGGCTTCCCAGCTCCCACACAGGAGATGCCAGAAAATACTCCCAGGTGGATTTAACTTTGTGCAATACACACTTTTGGGTGCCTGCTGCAAGCAGCGTTCATAATTAGTACTTTAAGCATTCTTGATAAGGAAGATAATACAACTGGTGTCCATCACTGTAAACTAAGTGTTTTCTGCCCTGGACAAAAAGCTGGGTCCTGTTAAACACTGCACAGGTTCTCAGCTACTTACCAGGGCTAGGCTGCTGCACCCACCAGTCAGGTATCAGGGTGTTTCTGCAGGTCTCCTGGGGGGGTGAGGGGCTTCTCTTGATGATCCCCAGGTATTCATCTACACAGGGGGGCTGTCAGAGACCAGACACCGAGATCAGAGAGGGTTTGATGCCTTGGGCAGCTGTTGCCCTGCACAGAGACACTTGCAGTGCTCAGGGAGGGTCCAAACAGCAATGCCAACAGGATGCCAATGACCTTCTTTCGGTCACAAAGAGCAAGTTTGGCATTCCCCAGGCCATACACTCAGATAACACCCTCAAGAGCTACTGAGCAGAAGCAGCCCAAGGTGACACAGCCAAGAAGTGGAACAGAGCTCTAGAACAGGTTCTGTCCCTTGGTCAAAAGGTCTTGCCAGATGCAAATCAAAAGCAGGAGCCATTCATCAGCAACCACATCCCAGCACAAAAGACACAGCATTTCTCACCGGGCCGATTCCCAAAGCCTCACAGACCGAATTTTAGGAAGGCAACACTTTATTGGGCAACTACCTGCCATCTGTCCACCTCCAGCCAAGGTGACCTGCAGCCTCAGTGAGGGCTTACCTCTTTAATGAGGTCATCGATCGCAGAGGAACTGCAGTCCATCTCCGTGACATCATTCAGGCTGTTCCCGTTGGCAATGCCCGCTTTGCCTGGAAGGAAAGGCCAGGATGTAGTGAGAACACCCACCCCATGCTTCATCTCACCAACTGGGTTCGAGAAACCCTTCACCCCGTGAAAGTTATGAAACTGAGAACCACAGCCCTGTAACAGCACCTTGGGGGAGGCTCGCAGCCCCCTCCAGCTCCACCCAGAGGTGTTTTTCAAGACCAAAATCCAGTTCACAACCCATTATCCCAATGCACAGTGACCAGCAATGAGGCAAGTCAAAAATCTGGCTGGTAGGACAGAGAGCTAGAGCAGTGGGTTGGGGTTTTTTTTTTCTGAGCACCCCAGAGACCAGGGCTGCTGCTTCTCCTTTTTCCACCAGCCGCCCCGAGCGCGGCCGTGCTGCTGGTGGGAACCTGCAGTGTCATTTGCATAACAGCAACAAGCCCCCCCCATGAACACGGCTGGAGGAGACCGAGATGCTAAAGACATATTTCCTGACAGCAAGGTTTGTTGGTTTGGTTTTTTTTTTTTCAAGTTTTTTTTACTTTTTAAAAAAAAGGAAAAAAGCACACACACACCTAACCACAAATGGAGATATACTTAGTGCAATTGCATCACACCAGACATCGCAGCAGCAACTGCTCTCTGTTAAAGTGCTGCTACTCTAATCACTGCTGGCAAGAGAGAAGGGATTTATTGCAGCTCTTTGCCATCCACCTAGGGCAGGTGTTGGTAGGACAAAGGGTTGGGGCTCAAGTACCCCCCCCCGCCAAGAGGAGAAGGACTTTGGATTTGCCCCTCCAACATCCTTATGGGATGGAAGCTTACACGATGCTACAGTTATCCCTTGTTTCCTAAGCAGCATTTTGGAGGGAGAGAAAAATACGTCTGTTCTTCCTCCTCCCCTGTGTCACCACAGTGACATGGGGGACATCTTTTGCAAAGCAGGACAAGCAAAGCATCATAGCACAAGCACAGCATCTGGCCAGGAAGCTCCACTCAGATGTAGGTCAGTGGCACAAGCCTGTGGTTACACACAGGACCGACCTGTGCTGGGGGTCAGTCCCTTTATCAGGGCACTCACATTTCTGTTCCTCCTCCGGCACGATCCTGTAGACCTTGTAGGGCTCAGAGATGTCCAGCTGGGACCTGTCTGTTACCTCCTCAAAGTCGGGACTCTTGTTCAAAGCACAGCGCAGCCGCGTCTTCCATGTGGCCGGCTCCGCTTTGTCACCTTCTTTGAACTTGCCCTTGAAAACAGCCCAGGCCTAAAACAAATCAACAAAAGAAAGAGCCAAATTCACCACGTGAGCTCTGCAAAACCCCTCAATCCCTGGGGCAAAGGGGCTGCAGAGAGCATTTTGCTCTCCCCGCCTCCCTGCCCCTCGCACCCTCTCAACCATCCCATGCGTATCCGCCGTTTCGCTCCTCGACTGCGGGCACATGTGGAGCCACCACACGTGGGGATGGGTATCTGGGTGCAGAGCAGCACCACCTGCCCCAGCAAGGGCTGCAACACCCAGGTTTTTAAAAAGCAGACGTAGAAGTCATAACATATGGCTTCATCTATGCACCCAACATGCCATGAACTGCTGGGGACGTGCAGAATCATGACAGAAGCAGGGATGTGCCTAATGACCTGGTAACACCTCAATTAAAATCAATTAAACGTCCTTTTCCAGCTCTTGACCAATAAGCTAAAGATGGTTTCTTCTAAAAATCAGAATACTTTCTGTGCTTTCGGTGGGAGAATACATTTTACCAAACAGTGATTCCAGAATATGTTTTTGATATTTTTTTTAAATATACATCTTTATTTTTCTGTATGTAACTATACATTTTCAGATAGCAGAACTCAATGCCATCCTCATAACTCAGTGCTCCCAAACCAGACACTGACCAGTTGTCACTTCCCAGAAAGTGAACTCGCTCACCGGTACAGATATTTGGAAGCAGGGGCAGAGGGAAGGGAATTCCTGGGGAAGAGCCTGACCTTTTTGGTTTGGCATGGAATTTTCCAGTTTTTCCCCAAAACTGGAAATCCCCCCCCCACCCCTTCAATGAAATCCAAAGCTTCCTTCCCTCCTGCAAAATCTTTTTTTCATTGGTAAATCCAAATTTTATCAAGAATAGCCTGACAAGAAGTTTAGAGCAGATAGAAAGAGCAGGATGTGCTCCTTTTTCATGTCAGACCAGGATTCAAATATGCTGAAAATAAACCTAAAACTGGTACCAGCATTTGGCAAAGAGGAATAAATACTCCTAAAAAGACCCTGGAAGGCCAATTGTGGTGTGAAGCATCTCCTGCAGGGGTCAGAGATACAAAACCCACAGACAGCGTGGACTTCTCACGCTACTGAGACTGTCAGCAAGGGAAAAACCAGCATCCAGCCCAGGAACCATTGAGAAAAAGGCATTAACCATCTGTCCCTACCTTGAAAATAGAAGCGTCCACCTCCTGGTTGTAGTCCTGCTTCCCAGCGTGTTTCCACGGGATGCGGAACATGGTTTTCTCCTCATTTTCCCAGATGAGCCCTGGGTAGAGCTCGCTGTCGATCTGCTCGATCAGCCACTGCCGGAGCCGTCGCCCACCGTTGCGGTCACACATCCTGGATGGAGCAAGAGATCCAAGCTCCATTAGCTCCCCCACCACCGTCCCACCACGACTGGGGTACAAGGCATCATGTCATGCTCTGGTTTGCCCCATACACAGCTGGTAACGGCACTGCCTGTAGAGACCAGCAGCTTTCAGCAGGTCCCACATGCCAATTTCTGTACATTAAAATCCTCCCCTGCTTTTTTTATAATAAAAAAAAAATCAAGGCAATCTTCAAAGAGCTACTATAAATTCTTCGTCCAGCTCTATCAATCAAAACTTCAAAGCTCTGCTCACCACAACAGGCTGACTTGGTGCTCTGCTCACTCCTTTTGCTGTGGGAGAGGACACATAGGAAGCAGATGGAGAGGGATTAAAGTGCCCGGTTGTGCTGTCACCTAAGCAAGTGACACTGGACAGGTCATCCCAGGGCAGATATCTGTTAACATCTGGGGGAGATGGAAGCCAAGTGCTGTCCCCAGCAGACCCCAGGGGTCTGCTCTGGAGGGGACGGCAGCCCTTCTCACTGGATACTGCCTATATGGGGAGAAGACACCAGCCTAGACAGCACCTGGAGCCACCATAGGGATGGAGACCACATAACCAGTCCTCTTGAACAGAGGACCAACACTGGGATAGAGCAGGGTGAAGTCACTCCACTCTTGCTGGGAACCTTGTGTTATTTTTAACCAAAACCACTGGGTAACTTCATGGAAGACCCAGGAGACAGCTTCTCCCACCCAGCTGGAAGCAAAGCACTACACTCAACTCTTCTGACATCTTCTGTCACCTCCATGGCAAGACCCACAGGGACTTCAGGAGTTGGTGGCCTGGCAGAAGCAACCAGCAGCCCCAGGATCAGCTCTCCAGGACTTTTGGACTCACAGCCCTCCTCCAGGTATTACCAGACTGTCTCATTCTTTTTTTTTTTTTTATCTTCTGCCCCACAGGAAGGTTTTAGTGACAAAAGACGAGATGTTCCCAGCACAACCCAAGATCTGCTGGCCCCTGCTTTGCTGCAGGCTCACACCAGCTCAGTGCCACCAACTTCTGTCCCTTCATTGCTCTATTACTGCCCAGCAGGACACACAGACCTCCCTGGCCACCCAAAGCACAGCCCCTGCTTTTAGAGATGGCCACAGACAAGATCACGAGCCAAAACAACAGTGAGGACATAGCCCTGGATCCCAGCTGTCCCTCCAGGGCAGGACGCCCCAAAGCACCAGCTGGAGCATTTCCCCAGAGGGATGGGGTTACACACAGCTTCTCCACAGGCTCCTGCACCTGAATTACACTGACATGAAGAACCTCAGAAATGCCCCCTGAAATGGGACTCCCTCCTAATTCAGCCCATTTTCTAGAAAACCTGTTCCCATCACTGTCAGAGCCAGAGCTCCATTTCTCCTCTACAGGAGGCTGCGCAAGCCCTCCAGGCTGCTGCTGGAGACACAAGCCAAACACACAGGACACAGCCAAGGAGTTCTTCACATGCAGCAAACTAAGCAGCAACCCCATTCCAAGGGGAAAAAGCAGCCAAAAAACCAGACTGAAAGAGTCAGCACCACAGCATCACCCTGCAGCCTGTCAACCTTCCAAGGATCCCAGCTCCAAGCCACCACCAAGCTCTCCCCAGCCCACCCATCCCATGCTTTGCCTTGAAGCAAACACCAGCAGCACCTCCAAGGATGCCAACGCTGCTGAGCATCAAGCGGGCTCAGTCCTTGCCCCCCAGCACACATGGGGCCGTGGGTACCAGGCTGGCTTCATCCTGCATCCTCAAAGTCCAACATCCCAAGGGTCTCACATCCCCCTTCCCCGACTCCCGAGGGTCCCGCAACCCTCTTCCCCTACTCCCCAGCACCCCGTATCCCTCTCCCCGCAACTCTCCAGCACCGTGGGGACAGCGCAGAGCACACACATCCCGCACCGCCCCGTACCTGCTCTCCGCGCCGCTCCGCGCCGCTCCCCGCACCGCCCACCGCGCACACCTTTTATAGCAGCCCGGGAGGGCGGGCCCAGCGTTAGCCACGCCCCCATCCCGCCCCCGCTCAATGGAGAGCCGTCTCTGCCCCCGGCCCGACCAATGAGGAGCCGCCCAGTGGGGCGCGCGCGGCCGGCGGAGCTTTCTCTGAAGGGCGAGACTTTCCGGGAAATCAGGCGGAGGGGGCGGGGC